AAAAAAAAAACGGTAACCTGGTTGCCGAGTTCACGAAGTGAATTGGCTTGTTTTACAACGTCGTAGCCAAGCGACGAAAACCCAATCCCGATGGCAAACACCGGGGGGGGCAAAATGGGCCAAGTAAGTCTGTCTGTCTGTCTGTCTGTCTGTCTTCTGTCTGTGACCAGCCTCGATGTATTACCCAGCAGATTCCAGCCCATTTCACCATCTCGGCACCAACTTGCAATCTACGACCTGTTCACAACAAGTAATATTTTGCCCGAGCTGCCCCAACTGCTACCTTTTCAATCCGTGCTCGGTGCGTCGAGATAGTGCAGCGTTGGTACCCAACTTGAAGCGGGGAAGTTTCTGGTCCCTTGCAACACCGAGAGGAGGCGTCGTTTGATTTTGAACCAAGACAGCCTCGCACACCACACACCACACACACAGAGCCAGACATGGACAAACAGGGAGAGGGAGACACAGACCACAGCGAGGGCGAGACGGCTGGAGGAGGGTGTGCCATGCACTGCTGCTGTTAGCTATCGGCGGAGGAAGCGAGAGGAGATCAACATTTGGTTGCAGCAGCAGCAGCAGCGGAGAGGGGCCCATGACACCAACAACACACAGACGCTGCTACGCACCACCATTGGTGCGACATGTACTGCTGTACGCCTCTCTACACTTTTGTGCGCGAAGGCCTAGTGTGCGACCAGTGCCTCCCGTGCTAGCCTGGTTACCCATCACACGCTTGAACGCTAGTGAGATTTCTCGATCAAAGCTCGAACCAACAAGCGAAGCACAACAGCAGAGACATTCTTTTTTTTAGCTGCTAGCCGTATTTTTTAATGTTCCACACCCCTCCCTCCCCCCCGGTGTTTGCTATCGGGGTTGGGTTTTTGTCGCTTGGCAACGAAGTTATAAAACAAGCCCCCCCCTCGGTTTTTGCCATCGGGATTGGGTTTTCGTCGCTTGGCAACGACGTTGTCAAAAAGCCAATTCACTTCGTGAACTCGGTGAAGGCCACCCTGACTCTCGAAATCATGGGTTCGAGTCCTTGTGGAGGTGTCTTTTTTTTCCAAGACATTTTTTTTTTCGGAGTCCATCACAATTGATTGGCGCCCCCCACACCGTTAGCCTGCGACCACGGGAATCGACCGCGTCGAGTGTTGTATAAGTACGGACATACGAAGGTACTGGGTAGAGAGAGATCGGAACGGTTTTTAATGTGAAGACAACAAACAACACCTCAATCAATATATTGTAAAACTACTGTGTAGTAAACGGGCCAACGGTAGCAACGCACGAGCCTACTGCAGGTACGTTTTTCAACAAAAACTATTCCACCTCCCGATCTAGTAGTCCCTATGGCGGCTGCTCTATTTCAGATCCAAATACATGCACATCTCGCCCCGGTGGTCTAGTGGGTAGCCTCGCAGCCTGCTACGGGCCAGATCATGGGTTCGAGTCCCGGCAGAGAAAGTTTTTTTCTCAATAAATAAATCCTGGTCTAGGATGAAAGCGACGCGCTGCAAAGCTCGTTTGTTAGTAAACCATAATCGACTCCGTAAGTCGCGAGGGAAGGGATTGCTGTACCCTTCTCGCGATAAAAATACCTCAGGCATGAACCGCAGGAGGGGGTCCAACCCCCCCCTCCTATGTGGCCCCGGTTGGGTCGTCTAGCTAGTAGAAGTGGAGGATAGGGGCCAGAGGGGCAGACGACAGAGTCCCATGATGGGAGAAAAAACAAACAAAAAACAAACATGCGGTAAAACGATAAACATGTGCGTGCGTGCAAGCTGCCTTGGGCTTGGTTGGGGAACATCGCGTAAGGTAATACACGTGAAGTACGTTGACTTCATGCACAAATGCTGTTTTTGAGCGTTCTTTGCAGGAACGGGCTGTCCCGATAGGGTTTGGAATGAATGGAGGTACAGGTCAGAGACAAGCTACCGGATACATTGAAAATAAATCACGGTGCTGTATTCTGTACATGCATACATAAGAAATAGGGGAGTCCTGCACAGCAGAAGACGCCATAATGCTGTACATGAAGTAGATGGCCGCGGAGAAAAACAGCATACCCGATACATACCACAAGCCCAGGGCGGTTCCGCACGGAATTCAACGTCATGTACGTTCGTTACGTGTATGTAGCTGCATGGCCACAGACACAGGTACTAACGACAGCAGCAGGGGGCTCACCGTTGAGGGATAAGAAAAGAGTGAGGAGGGCCGAGGCCAGCCCGGAGACGGCGGCGGAGAGGTCCGCGGTACCGCTGCATTGGTGCCATCGAACGACAAACCGAGAGCCGACGATGCTAGCTACCGTCAAGGCTGCACCCAATGTCGCCACCTCGAACAGTGCCGCAAACCCAGGGGCTGACATCTGGGTTGCTGTCGGCGGTGTCGGTCAAGCCAGACCTGCGTCGTGTCATCGAGGAAGCATACGTATCATCAGCGCAAGTGCGACGGACGGGTATATTTGTGAACCAAGGGCACAACGTCCGTTAATTATTTGTTAATGGATGAAGAAAGAGAGAGAGAGAGAGAGAGAGAGAGAGAGAGAGAGAGA